GTTACCTTGATGAAGGCATCGTCAAGCAACTATCGTCAACCTGCTCGTGCCGCTCCGGGAGAAATCCTAAGATCACCGGATCGGACGATGGCGGCGATGCGGTGTCGTGTTCCTTCTTGGGGGCATCGTTTGTGGAGCGGCGCCGGATGGAAGAGGCGTGAGGTGGTGTGGCGCGCCTTCTCTTGCGTCGACGACGGCGGGTCTCGACGGCATGGAGCAGCGGGGTCTCGCCGGTGGGCGTGTGATGATGGACGAGCGCAGAATGGTGGCGTTGTCTGACGTCGTGGTAGCATCGACGGCAGCTAGACCAGGCAAGGTAGATGCAGCAGTACAACACTGAAGATGGATTGGTGGCAGGTGGCTGCGGCGGCCTCATACCCGACAGGTGTCCTGGTTGAGGAGTGCGCCGGACTGGTGGATGCTCCATACCCAATAGGCGTCCTGGTTCGGACCTCACGTCTTAGATGTTAGGTTTGGCTGTGAGGTCTATTTGGTATTAGGCCCAAACTATCAGCATCCCTTTATCAATTGGATAGGAGTAGCGACAGATGTTGCCTAGACAGTGGCTTTAGTCTTACTGGTGTATGACTTTGTAAGGTCTTATGTGAATAATTAATAAAGTGGCTGCATGCATCATCCAGATGTAGAGGCCGGGGGTCCTCCTCCATTTCTAAAAAAATGTGTGTTGTCCAATTTAAGGGCTCAGATAACATGATCTAAAGACCTAAACAGGTAACACATATTGTTCAGAGAGTTTGCGCCCTCCAATGTGACATGTGTAGACATTTATGAGGATCAAAGACAATATGAGATGATGGTTATCTACCGAACGTAATGCATGGTTTCAGTTTAACTACCTTATTATAAAAACGACCACGTTGTGGCAACGTCAAAGCAGAACCATAGTGTGGAATACAACCACACGAGGAAGAGTTTCATAACTCTAAGGTGATCCGCCTGCAGAACAACCAAATAAAATATTAAACTCACGATGCAAGGTAACTGGGATTACCATTGAAGTGGCACACTTGAGGTATACCATGATCTAAAATCTCTCTGCACCTAATTTCTCAACTGCGGGAAAACACTTTTATTTCCAGTCTTTACTTTATGCTCTTTGCTTCCAAGTCGTTATTATTCTCGCTGCAACCATCTCATCATATTCACTACTCTGGTTTATTTGACTCTTGAAACACTAATAGCCTCTACAGAATCACAAGGAGTTACTTTACATAAGATCTATGACAACTTGTGTGTGACAAAAACGTTGCTCATAAGTTCTCGCTCCGCTCTTAGTTGGGACAATAACTATTTTAGGATACTTACATGGAAGTCTACACCACCATGTGTGGCTTACAGGTCATCAATTATTTTTCTTGCACTGTTGCTGGGCAGTGAAGCGCAGAGTATTTGTTTCATAACTGTTCTAAGGTGTTGTTATTGTAGATACTTCCTATTACTGACATGTGTTCTACTCCTTCTAGGAAGACTTATTTGCCAGATTATATTCAACATTTTCCACTAGAGCTTCAGGATCCATTATTAAAAAAATACCAAAATATCAAACTACGAAGCTTAATACTTTTATTTGCATAAATGATGATTCCTCAGAAAGAAAGAAAAATTTGTGAGGGGATACTATGCTCTATATATGGGTTCAAGATCTTCCATAGTCTATCCTACGAATTATGCCATTAAGTATTCGATTGACCGTGATCTTATTCAGGAAGTCGGAAAGCATGCCTTTTCAGGGACTAAGGAAGAATACCCTCAAGCACATCTTATGTTCCTTGATGCTTTATGTGTGACTTTTAAAATCAAAGATGTGTCGAGAGAATTTGTTTTATTGAAACTCTTCAACCCGTCTTTGAAAAGGTAGAAGAATGGTATAACAGATTACAATATTGCAGCACAACCAGCTGGAAAATGTATGGAGAAGTTTATGGCTAAATTTTTCCCCTTGCTCTAAAATAGCAAAACTCCGAAGTGAGCTCACTTCTTTTGTCAAGTAAATCAGAGATAACCTATATGCAGCTTGGGGAGATATTCTAAACTCTTGAATCTTTGCCCTAATCATGATTTTTGCAGAACATGTTACACTTCATATATTCTATCATGTGATTGACGATGAAACTAAATCTATCCTTGATTTAAGTGCAGCTCGATGCTTTATGTCCCTTACTCTTGAAGAAGGAAAAGAATTGATAGAAAAAATTATGACTGCCAGGGAGAAATGGAATATTGAGAAACTAGTTAAATACACGGGAAAAAAGTATCATGCCGAAGACATGGAGGAATTTAAGAAGGTGAATGAAAAGGTAAAGCTGTTGAACAAGTTATTCATGGAAACATGGATCTATTTAGTATCTACCAGCATAAAGACGAGCTCGGGGAGACAATAATGAATAGGTTTAAGCACCATCAAGCTGGGTTCAATCGAGACCTGAAATGATGCATTTACCACAATGAAATATTTGACAGCCATGTTGTTAGCTCTTTTCAGTTATACCAATAATAGTGTCACCCGACAGGACAGGTACACATGCTTAGTCAAAGAAGAAAGAAGGATATTACTCCTATAAAGCTTGATGGTGTAGGCAATCTATAGTTGTGGTAGTATTAGTAATCTTTGGTGTAGGCATCGACGATCAGAGAAGGGTTGTCGTCATCATCGTCGCTGGTGGTGCCTCTGCTGTCGGACGAGCAGATCCTGGCAAGACGTCAGGCTGGCGCCTTTTGCCGGCGCGGTGGCCTTCTCCTTCGCGAGCCACTTGGACTCCTCGTTGCCGAGCCAAAGTGGCTTGGTATTCTTGTAGCGGCGGCTGTAGGCATCCATCTCCGTCGAGGTCAATGGCCGGCGCAAGACGTCACAGAGGAGGTCGCCCTCCTGCTCGGCGGACGCGGACTGCAGCCAAAGCGGCTACAACCCGCCTTCGCCGACATACACGCCAGCTGTTGCCTCGAGTGGTGTGTGGCATGTGCCTCCGATTTGGGTGTCCGCCTCTGCGGTGCGGGCAAGAGCACCCCATCACCGACAGGGAGAAAAGGTCCTGAGTAGGGCGGGCGAGCGCAGAGGGCGATGGACCTAGACAAGCGCGGAGGACGACGGGCTGGCGTGGTCAGGCACGGAGGCTTGTCGAGCGACCGGGGATGGCGAGGAGCTCGAACTTCCGCCCATGTCCATCCATGGAGAGAATTCCTTATTTGGCCCTTTCTTAAAATTTGATTCCCTTTTTGGCCTCAAAAAAGTTTTTCTTCCCATTTTAACACCCAAACTTTATTTTGTTCTCTACATGACATTTTCGTCAGGTTTAGCCACTAACACCGTTATGTGCCACATGAAAAGTCTTTCTTACCCCTGGTGTTTGCAGGCTGAGAAGGCACAAGTGAATATGACCGAAGCGACGGAGCAACACTGCTTATAGGTTGGACGGTGACGGAGGAGTTGCTGCGGTGAGCGCCCTATGCGCGATAGGGGAGAGCCACGGCCATACAGTGGACTCGGCCTCGATACGCATCAGGTTGACTTGACACTTGAGCGAGCGTCGATACGCATACGGACCCTCCCGTGGCGGTTCAGGTCAATAGGCAACGGCGGTACGCAGCCACCTCGCACGACAGCTACGACCAGCATGTACACGCCCGGCAGTCTCGGCAGACTAGGCGAGCTGCACACAGCGGCCATTGATGGACGCGACGGTGGCACGTTGCCGGCTGCACAGCCAACAGCACAACACAGCCGGTGTGGCCGTGTGGGCACGCGCGACGGTCAGCACTCAGCAGTGTCAAACAACTACAGCCATGTGCTTGAGTGGGTGGCCTAGGCATCGACGGTGCAGCTAGCATGTATGGGCTGGGCATCGTGGCAAGGCAAGATGATGCCGTGCCATAGCGCGCCTATAACAGTTGCGTGGTGGTGAGCACATAGCCGTGTGTGTGCTCCTGAGTCCTGAATGCATGTGCTGAAGATGTGGTATTTTATTTTATTTAGACTTTCATTTTAGAGTTGATTGGCTTCGGTCTATTCGTGAACAATAATGATTTGTAGTAGTATAGGAGTTTGTTCTTCAGTTGTTGTGTGCAAAATCAAAAAAATTGGTCACATAGTGTACCGGGGGTAAGACTGTCTTTTCATGTTACACTTAACACCGTTAATACCTAAAATTGACAGAAATGTCACATAAGTAACAATTTTACTTTAAGGATCATATAGGGAAGAAAAATATTCTTAGAGCCAAATAGGGAAGCATATTTTAAGAAATGGTCAAATAAGGAATTCTCTCCCTTCTATGACCGACAAAGGACAATATGGAGAGCAACCTCCTCACCGTTCGGGGTGGTGCTCGATTCCTCCGCCAACAGCGTGCCCCAATTGATGGGTTCTGCTTCATTGCTGGAGTCGGCCATGGTGCCGTGGGGAGGGGAATGGGCGAGGACAGGAACATACGGAGTGGAGTGAGCACAAAACGGAGCGGACAAGAGTGAGCTAATATTTAGGTCCAAATAGGGGTTTATGTGGAGATGGATAAACCAGCGTGAGCCGATCCAACATAACACGCGACGTGATCGATCCGTCTCATTTCAGTCTGGACTGAGCTTGAAGGATGCCACACACACACCAAGATATTTGAGCTGTATATGAGTGATTGTTTTTTTTTTGCGGGTGGTACATGAGTGGTTGTTGAATGTCAATTTCTTTACCTGCGGTGATCGAGCTGTCCCGACGAACATTTCGTAGCGGGTTGGAGGAGCCCAGTTGGTTGTACATGCTCTCTTTTGAAATTTTGGGAGTTTGAACTCATCTTCTCTTGTCTTCTCTGCGAGACGATTGGAACGATTCTGCCTTTTGGCTAAAGCTGTCAGAGCCGCGTGGACCGAGTCCATGTGCACCAACCAAACCACGCCACCGCAGGCCGCTCGCTCGCTCACGGGCAAAGCAGAATCGCAAAACCCTCTCCCCTCTCCTTTGCCCCTCTCCTCCTCCGCCCACCACAAGCGAAATGCTCCGACGCCTCGCCGGCGCCGCCGCGGCGCCCCTCCGCCGCTCCCTCTGCACGGCCGCGGCGGCCTCCTCGCCCCCTCTTCGCCCTCCATGGGCCATGCTCTACGCCAAGCCGGCGCTGGACGCGTCGGGGGCGCCGTCGCGCGCGTCCCTCGACCTCCACGAGGACATGTGGGCCCAGCTCTCCGTCCCCGCCCGCCTCGTCGTCCCCGACGCCGGCGACGCCGCGGACTTCTTCGCCGGCGCCGTCCGCGCCGCGACCCCCGACGGCCTCCTCCTCCTCGACTTCTCCGACACCCGCTGCCGCGCCCCGGTCGACCGCACCTTCCGCCCCAGCTGGCTGGCCGAGTTCGACGCCGCCGCCGAGTACGCCGGCGAGCCGGACGTCGCGCGCTTCGTCTGCAACCCTCTCAGCGGCCAGCTGCTCCGCCTCCCTGCCCCGGGCGCGGAGTTCGCGAGGTCGTCCACCGCAGGCTGCTCCACGGGCTTCGGCCTGCTCACCCAGTCCGAGGGCTCCCGCGGCCCGCCCGACAGGTACGTGGTCGCCCAGCTCAGCCGCAGCCGCCGCGGGGGAGCGGACCACCCCGTCGTGCGCCGGTTCCTGTCGGAAACAGGGGAGTGGGACGAGCGGCGGTTGGCCGGCCCGTCCGTGCCGGCTAGCCGGGACATGCGCATAGACCCGAACCTCGAGGTGGTGGCATTCGGCGACAGGCTGTGGTGGCTCGACCCGACCTGGGCCGTCTGCTCCGTCGACCCTTTCAGCGACCAGCCGGAGCACCGCTTAGTCGAGCTGCCCCCGGCCAGCGTGCTGCCTGACCTGATTGACCTGGCGGGGACACCGGTGCTGGGCAGGTACCGCCGTCTCGGGGTGAGCGAGGGGAAGCTGCGCTACGTGGAGGTGTCTAACAGCAGGAAGCCATTCGTGTGCAGCTCCTTCTCGCTCGATGAGAAGGGCTGCTGCTGGACGCTGGAGCACAAGGTAGCATTCAATCCTGTTCTCCCTGAAAGGTGCAAGGTTCTGGAAGACCACATACCGTGCATTGCCGCCATCGATCCATTCCGGGCGAACTTTCTGTACCTCATCTATGGTCACTTTCTTATTGTTGTGGACATGGCTAAGGGGAAAAGCTTAGGGGGGCAGCATCTTCCAGAAAGAGCCGGCGATCAAACCCTGTGCCCCTCTGGTTTTCTTGTGCCCTGCACGCTCCCAACATGGCTAGAGTCGAGCTACATCCCCTGTGCAGGTACATCTATGCTCCATTAACATGCTTGTTTGATCATTGTCAGATTGTATAGATCTTTGTTTGATCATTGACAAAGTGCTCATGTTTACTCTGCTATAATTCAGATTGTATAGATCTTTGTTTAACATTGCTTTGAAATCTCTTGTGCATACTGCATAGCATCATGTTTTGTGGATACAAACCAAGTGCATTTGTATTTGAAAGTTCTGAAACTAGTGTTTCAGTTATCATCAGTGGCAACCTAAATGTGGTGGAGAGTTTCATTGCCCATAGGCTCATAGATTCCTCAACTAAATTGACTGTTATTATCAGTAATCCTTTCTATAGTATTGCAGCATTGAAGGTGGAATTTGGAATTGCCAGAAAATCTGATTTTCTTTACTGCATTTGTATGAGATCTTTGTACGATGTAAAAAGTGTTTTGCTCCTCTATTTCAAGGTATACCTATGCAATTGTCCTGTTAAATGTCTAAACTGTGTTTCCCAATTCAACTCTTACTGTAATTAAGGAACATATATCACTCTGTTGTTTTCTGTCATTATTTTGAAAGTTCAAACATAATTGAAGGAACCCTTTCGAGCAAGAAGACCAATTCCAAAAGGAACAGTTTGGCAGAGACGCTGGTTCGTGCGGACAGGGGGCAGAAAAATTGAAGTGCGCCAGCTTATCTGCGGTACTTTCTCTTCATTCTTCCTTGTTTGGGTACTCTTGTTGTTTCCTCCAATATTGGTCATGTCTCATTCTCTCTTGTATTGATGATTATGCATTTCTCTTGCACTGCTCGTGATGTACGTTTCATGAAGAAACAAGTAGCTCTAACCATGTTTCCAAGTTACTATGTTGAACTAGTTAACTTAATTGTCCAACTTATACTATAATACTATGGTCATCTTCGATTTGAACTCATTTGATTTTATCATTTTTAGTTATGTATATATGGCAGTGAGAATATGATGGTCTTTTAGTTTATGGATTTTACAAATTATTGAAGATCACATCACCCAGTTGTTCCTTTTCTTCAAGCATTCTATACTTTTTAAGTGGAATAAATAATGCTGCTTGAATATGTTCTTTTCTGTTACTATCTGCAGTTCTTGGTATAAGACTGAACTGAAGTATGTCGCTATTTCTTACCAAGCGAGCATGCTGCAAATTGATTGTTATCGCGAAATTTGACATATTAGCAAGTACTAGTTCATATAACCTAAAGTATCCGTGAACATCAGATTCCATTTCTCTTACAGTGTCTGCAATTTGTTAGCTGGAAAAGTTAATTAAGTACTGCTTTCCTGGTTGGTGCATATGTCTGTCGGCTGCCAAACTGTATTGAGTATATTTTCTGGTCCATCAGGTTATACAATTTAAATGGGAGTGTGAAACATCGTAAGGGAAATAGAGCCTAGCAGACACCCAGTATTGTTGTTATGATCTTGCGTAAAGTGAACCATGCTATTTCTACCTTTGTAACATGACCATGTCTATATTTTTGTTGCAACAGAAGATAGAAAGTAAACAAAGCATGTTGCAGTTTTCAGATGGTATCTCATCCGTGTCATTTTTCCAAAACAATGTGGATGTGGATCTGGTTTTGCTGTTGTTTACTTCCGGTCTCATGTTTCTGTTTACTCCCATATATATATTGAGCTCAAGAAGAAATGGAGAAAAAACATCTCTGTTTTATGTCACTCATTCTCTCCGCACATGATTCTGTAGATGTTCTTCACGTTTATCTGTATATTAGAACTATTACAAAGAGATTGGCGAGCCTCACGTTTATGTTTACAATCCGCTTTGCAGGGTTCTCAAAATTGTGAGGTAGGAGTTGTTTTGGAGGACTAAGAAATTGATGGTGGTAGACTGGTAGTTCCTGAACTCCCGTTTTGGGGGAGTGCTGTGAGAAGTTTGGGTTTGTCAGGCTTTGCTGATGCGCCTCCTCTACCATGGTTTGTGCAAAATCTGCAAATGTTTTACATATTTTCGCTTTGCTTGTGGACCCGTTGAGTTTTTAGACTTTTTACTAATGTGGCTCTATTCTGTCGGCAATTCAGCATGAATCGAATGCCAATAACTGCATTATATGTCTTTTTAACGTCGAATGGATCAGTAGCTTTAGAAGTTAGGATTATGAATATTTATGGCCTTGACTATTACCGACAACTACTGTTCTGAGTACATTGTGGAATCTGGAATGTTATTTTAAATTGAGATTGCTTTTCTTTGAATTGAATGGGTCTGTAAGCTTAAACCAATGTGTTCTTGCATTGTTATCCAATCTGGAGTTTAGCTTATCCTTGTCATTGACATGTTGATAAAAACCTGTGCATTGGAAAGGTTAAGCTGCTCTTAAGGGTGGCTGATCTTGGAATCCTGATGTGTACGTACTCTGCAGTGGATAAGTCTGGCCTGTATGATGTATGCTAGTTTTCGCCTTGCATTTGAGCTACTTTGAATTTGATTATGTAAACATTGTACGCTGCTGAACCTTATTGTCGTGCATATGTCGAAAATGTTCAGTTTAGTGCTTTGCTGCATAGGTTACTGTTTGAATCAAGTTTTCCCAGTGATCTTGTTTGCATTCTTTCAATCATTGCAAATGCTCGGTAATTTCCCTAAATTCACGAGTTTACTTGTTGCAACAGAAGATAGAAAGTAAGCAAAGCATGTTGCAGTTTTCAGATGGTATTTCATTTGTGTCATTTTTACATACCAATGTGGATGTCAATCTGCTTGTGAACTCATGTTTCTGTTTACTTGTATATATATTGAGCTCAAGAAGAAATAGAGAAAAAATATCTCTGTTTTATGTCACACATTCTCTCTCCATACAAGTCTTTAGATGTTCTTCATGTTCATTTGTACTACAAAGAGATTCTTGAGGCTCACGTTCATGTTTACAATCCGCTTTGCCGGTTAAAGGTTTCTCAAAATTGTGAGATAAGAGTATTACTGGTAGTAGACTGGTAGTTCCTGAACTCCCATTTTGGGGGAATGCTGTGAGAAGTTTGTGTTTCTTAGGGTTTGCTGTTGCACGTCCTCTACCATGGTTTTGGCAAAATCCGGCAAATGTTTTACATATTTTGGCTTTGCTTGTGCACCCATTGAGTTTTACTAATATGGCTTGATTCTGTCGGCAAGTCAGCATGGATCGACAGTCAACAAGAGTATTATGTCCTTTTGACATCGAATAGATAAGTAGCTTTAGAAGCTAGAATTATGAATATTTATGGCCTAGACTGTTCTGGGATATTATGTTAACTTGAGTTTGCTTTCTTTGACTTGAATGGGTCTGTAGGCTTAAACCAACGTGTTCTTGCATTGTTATTCATTCCGGGGTTCTTGCATTGGCATGCTGAGAAGAACCTGTATTTTGGAGAGGTTTAGGCTGCTCTGAAGCGTGTCTGATTTTCGAATCTGACGTGTGCGTACTCTGCAATGGATAAGTCTGGCCTGTATGCTGTATGCTACTTTTCGCCTTGCATTGGAAAGGTTAAGCTGCTCTTAAGTGTGGCTGATCTTGGAATCCTGATGTGTACGTACTCTGCAGTGGATAAGTCTGGCCTGTATGATGTATGCTAGTTTTCGCCTTGCATTTGAGCTACTTTGAATTTGATTATGTAATCATGGTACGCTGCTGAACCTTATTTTCTTGCGTATGTTGAAAATGTTCAGTTTACTGCTTTGCTGCATAGGTCACTGTTTGAATCAAGCTTTCCTACTGATCTTGTTTGGCTTCTTTGAATCATTTTGAATGCTCACCAGTTTCCACAAATTTCACGAGTTTGCTTGAAATTTCCTATTTGAAAGTGTGTTGTGAGCGAATGGAACTGGGAAAAGGAGGAGGATAGGATACAAGCTGAAACCACCTCCTCCCAGTGAATATTCTCAAAAGACCTCCTCCCAGCACAGCCATCGGCGGGACGCACTTCCTCCTGCGGAATTCGTTGCATAGACCAGCCCCGGTAGACCAACGTCACTGATCTGTGGGCCTGAGAGAGCTTCAGTGTCCCAGTACGCGGTGGAACGACCCAACGCAGCTTTCATCGCGCCATCCCCTAACATGCCAGCTGTGTGCACCGAGTCTACGTGAACCGAGGCCTCTATGCCATCGGATTCCTTCCACTCTCTGCTCAGTAGGGGTGTAAACGGTACCACTTAATCCCATTTAAGCCTATTTATAATCTACCCGCAAAAAAAAAAAAGCCTATTTATAATCTAACAGTTTAATAAAGTTTCTTTTCTAAGGAACATGAACTGTCAAGCTAACTAAAACTAACTAAACGGGACTTGCGGACGTCATTTATTTGTATTTATATCCCTATCTCATCCAACCCACCGTAGTAGCCGGCGTCAGCATCAGGGCCGCCGCCATGTCATTCCGGCGCCTCCTAGGCCTATTCGCCCGCCTATACCGTTACTTCTCCACGGCTGCCGTCTCACGTCCTCCTCCCTGGGTCTTGGCCGAGCAGGCCGCAGGATCGGCGTCGACTGTGCTTGTGCGCCTCGTCGAGCCTCCGCGCATCTCGCTCCTCATCTTGCCGACGCACCTCACCAAGACCAGCGTCGCCCTCACCCCTGGTAACGACATCGTGCAAGTCCTCACTGGCAAAGTATGCCCCTCAAGCGATTACGGCCTCCTCCTCCTCGTCTACGACACCCGTGTCATAGCTCCCGTGCAGTGCCGCAATCCGGTGCGCAAGATGACCTGCATCGACCCCAACCACATCCCAGACACCACTTGTTTCGTTTGCAACCCACTCACCGGCCAACTATCTCGCCTCCCTCGCATGGGAGTATGCACGAGACTAGGAGGTCCCAAGAAGCTCATGTGCGGCCCCAACATGGGCGTACTCACCCAACCGACTGCGGCCACAGGCCGCCCGGTGTTCTCCGTAGCCAAGCAAAAGGAGAATAGGATGCTCCGCTTTCTCTCGGCGACGAGAATCGCCATCGAGCAGTCGAGGGTGGACACTGCCGTGAGCTTGAGCTCCGCGCCATCCCCGGTGGCCGTCGTGCCCCTCTTCCCTCGCTCCCCCTCCGGTCCCAGATCCTTTCAGATAGTGTTGGGTCCTCGTGCCCGCGCCCACCCAGAGGATACTGATGTCGGAGTCGGGGGCAGAAGTCGCTCGTCGTGAGAGGTAGCGGGCCGTGCAGAGGGCTGCGTAGGCCGGCCCTTCCCGCCCACACACCAAATTCGTGCCTGTTGACTCGGAGGAGCAGTTCCTCACCTCTCTGGTTACATCCCCTCGGTGCTGACACCGGCTCGACGACGCTCCCCCTTCCCTCTCCCGCGGGCGCCTACACGGAGGAGTACTACGGCTGGGGCCGGCTAAGAAATGGTGATCTCTGCCTCCCTGCACCGTCTAGCTAGTATATTCTGTATGTAGTGTAATCTATTCGGCGACGAACTATACCTTTTGGGTCTGACTGTGCTATATATTTCTAGTTCAATCTACGTTGTTGCATGTTTTGTATGAATTTTGGTCCGGACATATATACGGGGTTGCGGTTGTGAACAGGGAGAAATGGGATGTGCCCTGCCACTAGCTAACCATAGCTCTCTCATGTTTGTTGTCCCTTGGAACCTCCACATCATGCCTGTTACACCATCTTCAGAAATACGTAGTTGTGTGGTCTGTGAAGGCTTTCAAAAACC